ATGGAATCTCATGGAAGCAAGTGTCAATTGTGAACGCAGCATGGCCTCATTGAACCCAGGGGCAACTGGGACCATGCTGTGGCTTGTGGAAGCAAGGGGCCATTGTGACACAGTGGGGCTTCTTGAACCCAGGAGAATATTGTGGGCCCATGGATTCTCATAGAAGCACGGCCCCATGGTGACAAAGTGCGACATCACAATGGTCTCCTGGCTTTCATGAGGCCCCTCTTTATAACAATTCAGACTTGTTTCTGTGAGATTCTATTGTGCTACAATGATCTCCTGGCTTCAATAAGGCTGCACTGTGTTTACAATTGATACTTGGCTCCCCAAGATTCCATGGCATCACTCTGCTCTCTTGTAATTTGAGGCTATGCTGTGTTACAATGGACACTTGCTCCCACCAAGGCTGGAGATGTCCCAGTGGCACCAGGCTTCCGTGAGAGCCTGCCGTGTCACAATGGACCCTTGGTTCCATGAGATTCCGTTGTGGCACAGTGCTTTCCTAGATCCCATGAGGCCCTGCTGTGCAATAATGGAGCCTTGTTTCTCCTTGGCCTGGAAATATTTCTGTGGTCCTTATGTTTCATGTGCCTCCTCTCTGTCAAAATTTACCCTTGGCTCCATTGCGTAACAATGGTCCCCATATTTCTATGATCTTCCCTGTGTCTCATGGGACACTTGATTCCGTAAGAACTGGCAATGTCCCAGTAGCACCTGTCTTGTATTTGGCCCCTTTGTCAAAATAAAGCCATGGTTCCATGAGATTCCACTGTGTCACAATGTTTTCCTTGGTTTCCTGAGAAGCTAATGTGTTCACAATTGACCCTTGGTTCCTTGAGATTTGATTACATCACAGTGGTGTCCTTGGTTTCAGGACATTCCATTGCAACACAGTGGTCTCACTACTCTGAGTTTGCAGCGTGAAACAGTGGACACTTGGTTCCATCAGATTCTGTTGGGTAAAAGTGTTCCATCAGGCCAGGCTCTGTCACTATGGACACTTGCTTGCACGAGCCTTGGAAATGTCCCATCAGCACCAGGGCTCCATCAGGCCCTGCTATGTTGACAATTTACTCGTTGTCCCAGGACATTCCATTGCCTCACAATGGTCTCCTTGGTGCCATGAGGCCCCTCTGTGTCACAGCGGAGCCTTGGTTCCATGAGTTTCCATTGGGTCACAGTGGTCTCCTGTGTTCCATTCGGCCTGGCTCTGTCACCATGGACACTTGGTTCCATGGGCAGTGGCAATGTTTACAGTGGCACCCCACAGTCTTACAAGTGACAGTTTGTTCCATGACATTCCATGGAGGCACAACAGTCACTTGGGTTCCATGCAGATGCCTGGGGAACAGGAGCTCAGCCCAAATATCCTAGGGGTCTGTGGGCTGGTGTTTTTTGAGGGGAAATCTTTGGATTTTGCAGGACTCCAAAGCTGAGCCATGGAGGCCTCTTGGGATGTAGTGGAGCATTGTAAAAGTTAGGAGACACTCATGGAAGCCAAGAGACCCTCATGGAGCCAAGGCTGCAGTGGGTCACAGAGGAACCTCATGGAAGCCAGGAGAGCAACGTGAGGCTATGGAACAATACGGCACCAAGGTTTCACTGGGACTTGACAGAACCTCAGGGAAGCAAGGAAGCATTGGGAGACTCCAGAATCAGCGTCTGCAGCAGGATTTTCTGCTCCCTCCTGGGATGTTGGTGGACAATGAAGCCTCAGACAGCCTCCCAAGTGTCCAGCTGTGTCATCAGTGGGGGCAAGATCTGGGGGGATGCCCTGTCAACCCTGCTGCTCCTCCTGGCTGGGCGTGGAGCTGCTGTGACACCGAGGTGGGGGGAATCCTTAGTGGTGTGCAAGGAAAGGTTCACCACAAGCAGCACTGGAACAAGATGTGCAGGTAAAACAAGCAAGATATCAGAGCAAGTGACTTAACAAATGCCACCAAGAGCAAGATAGCAAGTTTTTACGGAACTTGGAAACCGCAAAATCAGCTAAAACCAGGTTAGACTGAAGAAGCACCAGGCATGGGCTGATGATACAGGTAAAAAGTTCAAATGTGAGGAGGACTGCAGAAGCCTTCATCAAAAGACCACCAGAAGACTGAGGACCACCACAGAAAGAACTGACGCATGCACTGAAGCAGCAAAAGGTTGTAAAATCATTGCACAGCTTTATGCTGTGAATATGCTAATGAAATGTTTTAACTGTGGCTTTTAAAATGTAACTGAAGGCTAAAGAAGATTGAGTGGATTTTTGCCAGAGAGATCTCCCTCACTCCCCATGCTGAATAAACAAATCCCTGCTCTGACTGTAGAGTTTGATTTTCTTACCCAGTTTGTCCCATTCCATCTTTCCTTCCCCTCTCCTCCCCTTTTGCAGCATTCCCCCAGTCCACAGCCTCCTCCCAGCTCATTTTGGGGGGTCCCATCACCCTCCTGCTCTGCTTGGAGGTCCCATCACCCTCTTTTCCCCCGCTCTTCCACTCCTTCCCCATTGTTCCCCCAATCCCCAGTCCCCTCCCCCGTGTTTGGTTTTGGGGGTTCCAGGCCCCTCCTGCTCTGTTTGGCAGTCCTGACTCCCCCTTTCATTTAATTTGGGGCCCCCATCTCCCTTCTCACCATGCCCCCTACAGTCAGGGGGGCTCCCAACACCACCAGTACGCCCCAGATGTCCTCACATGCCCCATCCCCAGGTTCATCTCCCCCCTCCCCAAATTCCGCTCTTGGGGAGCACTGGGTGCTGTGGATCCGCCTGTCAACTGATCAGTCAGATCCACAATGGGCGCAGATTCCCTGAAAATCGCCAGGTTGGGCCACTGCACCCAGTTTCTGCATGGCATCTGGTTTGTCATCAGGACCGTGCACTCTGATTGGCCAGGATCTGTTTTGGGGTGGGGACAGGAGGAATTGGGGACCCCCAGGAATCCCCCTGGTTTGAGGGTTTCGATCCCCCCTTGGCCCTCGGTGCGGCCCTGGGGTCACCCCAACACTTCCAAAATGGGGAAGGTCCCTGGAGCCGTTTGGAACCCCAAAAATGGGCTGGAAGCAGCAGGAGCTGCCCCAAAAAGGGATTGAAGGGTCTGGTCTGGGAATGGGGGAGGGTCTGGGGATGGGTCCGATCCGGATTGAGGTGGATTGGGATTGAGGGAGTGTAAGAGACGGTCTGAAGTTCCCCTCATTTGCCTCATGACTGTCCCAAGGACAGACATCGGGACACTGAGGACCCTGATCAGAATTCTGACCTGCCGGTGGTGGATGAACGCCAGAAATCCTGAGGTCTTTGAGCAGAATTCTGGCCTGCCAAGTGATTATTCACAGCTGTGTCTACAGTGACTGCTTCTAGCAGGGCCTGGTTAAGGGGCAGACGTGCCCTATGTGCTTGCACCTGCTTCGTAACAGCAGCCCAGGAATTTTCCCACCTCTTGGCCAAATGAACTTGCTGGGGCAACTTTGGTAGCCCCCATGGAAAATCCTTCATCTGCTTCACTACCACCATGATGGACAGAGATTGAAGCCCCCTCCCAAGGACTGAGACTGAGACCCTATAAGGCTGAGACCCTATAAGACTGAGACCCAGGGGTGCTGGGCTGACTGGAGCAGGATGCCTGCTAAGTGTTGCCTGCAGATGTGTTCACTGGACCTAGACTGGTTTCCCATAGAAACCAGTCCTGAAACAATGGATCCCGCTCACCGCTGATAGCGACTTATCCTGCTGAGAACATGGACTGGCCAGATCAGTCTTCAATACCTTTTTCCCCCTCAGTGATTTCAAGTTCTCTTCCCTCCCCAGCAATGGACTATAATAGAACCTTGAGTTAACCAGGACTTTCCATGTTTGGTAGCTATCCTCCCTCTCTCCCTCTTTTCTATCCTTTTTCCTTTTTCTCCTTTCTCCCTTCCCTTCCCTTCCCTTCCCTTCCCTTCCCTTCCCTTCCCTTCCCTTCTTTCCCTTTCCCTTCCCACACTTGCTGTGGTCATTTGGTAAAGGTGAATTTGGTTTTGACTGATACTGCAATCCCCGTTCCGTGTTGTGTTTTTTGCATTCCACTTCCCACACTTGCTGTGGTCATTTGGTAAAGGTGAATTTGGTTTTGATTGATACTGCAATCCCCGTTCCGTGTTTTTTGCATTCCAAGATCACTTAACGAACCATCACGACCCCGGTTTATATGAGCAGATTGTGACAGGGAGGGGTCTGGGAGTGGGGAAGGGTCTGGGATTGTGGGGATGGGTCCATTCTGGGATTGAGGCTAGGTCTCCCCCTGGGACACCATTATTAGGTCGGGGTGTCTCCCCTTCCTGAGCCTGATCCTGTTCCCATTCCTGTTCCCAATCCCAATGCCATCGCTGTTTCCAGGGAATGGCTCTGATCTTAACCCCGACCACAAACCTGAGGAGGTCAAAGACCCCAAATCCTGGAGTCAAACCCCCCTAACCCCAAATCCTGAGAGTTCCAACACTGTGGGGGAGGCCAAACATCCCTAAACCCAAACTCTGGGATATCAACCACCCCCCTGAAACCCAAATTTTAGGATCAAACCCCCAAATACTGGAGTGTCAAACACTCCCCAGTTCCCAAACGTTGGGATTGAATCCCCAAATCCTCGGGTTTAAAATATTTGGGGTGTCCACCACCCCCAATTCCCAAAGTCTGGGGTCAAATATCTCCAAATCCTAGATCCTGAGGTGCCAAACACCCTCAATCCCCAAAGCTTGGGGTTAAAACCCCCAATTCCCAACTCCTAGGGTTTGAAATATCTGGGGTGAGCAAGCCTCCTCATCCACAAAGTCCGGAGTCCAATCCCTGGGTCCCCAAATCCTGGGGTCAAAACCCCCCAAATCCCAAATCCAGGGATTGTCAAATACCCGCAAACCCTGGGGTGTCAAACCCCCCACACCCCAAATTTTAGGATCTAATCCCCCCAATCCCAGAGGACTGGGGGGGGTCACTTTCCCCCCAATCCCAAACATCCCCGCCAAAACCACTCCAGCCCTGGGGGGCACAGTGGGGTTTATTTGGGAAGGCTCCAGGTGCAATGTCTGCAGACAGACCCTGGGTACAATGCTGGGAAAGACCCCAAAAACCCCTTGGGAACCCCAAAAGCATCTGGGGGAGTGGGAAAAGGGGATTTGGGTTTATCTGGGGTAGGGGCAGCTCCAGGTGCAATGTCTGCAGAGAGACCCTGGGTACAATGCTGGGAAAAACCCCAAAAACTCCTCGGGAACCTCAAAAGCCTCTGGGGGCTGAGAAAATGGATTTGGGGTGGGGATCCAGGGTGGAAGAAGGGGATTTGGGGTAAAAGAAGAAGGATTTGGGGTGAAGAGATTTAGGGAAGAAAGAATAGGATTTAAGACAGATAAAGGAGATTTTGGGGTGAAAGAAGGAGGATTTGGGATGCACAAAGAAGGATTTAGGATGAAAAAAGGAGATTTGGGCGGGAAAAGGGGATTTAGGGTGGGGATTGAGGATTTGGGGTCAGAATTGCAGTGGGAAAAGGGGATATTGAGATGGAAAACGATTCTGTGTGGGAAAAAGGGACTTGGGGTGGAAAAAGAAGGACTTAAGATGAAAAAGGGAGAATTTGGGGTGAAAAATGGATTTTGAGTGGGTGAAGGGGATTTAGGGTGTGGAGGAGAAAATAGGGATTGGGGTGGGAATTGAGGGATTCAGGATGGGGAAAGATTTTGGGTGGAAAAAGAGGATTTAAGGCGGGCTGGAAGCATTTGGGGTGGGAAAATACAATTTGGGGTTGAAAAAGGAGATTTGGGGTGGAAAAAGGTGATTTGGGATGGGACAAAGGATTTGGGCTTTGAAAAAAAAAATTGGGGTGGGAAAAGGAAAATTTGGGGTGGGAAAAAGGAGGGTTTGGGTTAAAAAAATTAGAATTTGGGCCCAGCTGAACTTACCTGGGGGAGTGGGGGCACGTGGGGGGTTTGGAGCAGGGTCAGGACCGTTTTGGGGGCAGTTTTCTGGGATTTTGGAGTCTTTTTCTCCGATTTGGGGGCAGTTTTATGGGATTTAGGGTGTTCTGGGGTCGTTTTGAGAGATCTTAGGGTGTTTCTATGGGATTTTGGGGTGGTTTGGAATGATTTTAGGGTGTTTCTATGGGAATTTGGGGTGTTTTGGGGCGGGTTTTGGGTATTTAGGGGCAGATTTGAGGCGCTTTTTTTGGATCTCGGGTATTTTGGGCCCTTCTTTTTTTGGGTTTGGGGGTGTTTTGGTGGGGTTTGGGGTGTTTTGGGTCACTTTTTGGCGAAAGAGATCTTCATGGCGTTGCTCTGGGTGATCTTGAAGCCCTGCAGTGCCTCGCGGGCGGCGCCCGCCTGCACCTCGGTGTCAAACTCCACGAAGGCGATGTCATGGCGCCCGGGCACCAGGCGCACCTCCTTGAACCCTGGGAACCTGGGATGGGGAATGGGGTCAGGAGAGCCTGAAAAAACCTGGGACCATTCCCTCAGAAACCCGGGAATGTTCCCCAAAAAACCTGGGAATGTTCCCCCAGAAAGTTCTCCTAGAAACCTGGGAATGTTCCCCCAGAAACCCAAGAAGGTTCCCCAAAGAATCTGGGAATGTCCCCCAAAAATACTCCAGAAATGGTCCCCCAAAAACCCATAAATGTTCCCCCCAAAAGATCCAGAAGCATCCCCCTCCCAAAAAATCCTGAAACAGCCTCTTTTAGAAATCCAGCGCCATTCTCAAATATCCAGCCACGTTCCCCAAAAAATCCAGAAACTTCTCTCAAAAACCCAGAAACATTCCCCAAAACACCCAAGAACATAAAATTTCCCCCCAAAAATCCAGAAGCATACCCCCAAAAAACTTGGAAACATTCCCAAAAAGATCCAGCTATGTCCCCCAAAATCCAGAAACATTTGTTTAAAAAATCCAGAAATCCAGCTCTCCATAAATGCCCAGAATTGTTCCCCAAAAATCCAGAATTTCAGCTCAAATTCCAGACTTTTCTCCTTCAAACAATCCAAAAACCCAACTGCACCAAATATCCAGAAATGTCCCCAAAAATATCCAGCAACGCTCCCCAAAAACCCAGAAATTCAACTCCAGAAACGTTCCCCAAAAATCTGGAAACATTTCCCTCCAAAAAAAATCCAGAAACATTCCCCCCAAATATCCAACCCAGCCCCCCACCTGACTCCTCTTGAAATCCCCCAAAAATCCCAAAATTTTCCCCATATTCCAGGAACACTGCCAAATGCCCCCGAGGGAGCTCCTGGATTCCCAATGCCTGGGAATTTGGGATGGGGGGTTAGAGTCAGGAGGAGCCCAGAATTTGAGGAAATCCCTGAGAAATCCAAGGGGGCAGCCCGAGTTTGGGAAAACCCCCAGTGGTAGGAAATCACCCCCAAAATTTGACTCAAATGCTCTCAAAATGGTTTGAGAATCTCAGAATATCCCTCAAAATCCCAAAATATCCTAAATAACCCCAAAAGTCCTGCAGGATTTCCCCAAAATTCCAGGGAAACGCTCTGAAAATCTTTCAATGTTCAACTCCCCAAACATCCAACAACCCCAAAAATTCCAAAACATTTCCAAAAATCCAACATCCCAAAAATCAAAAATCCAACTCTGAATCCCACCTAAACATTCTCAATATCCACAAAAACCCAACACTCCCCAAAATCCAGAAATATCCCACAAAATACCAAAAAATTCCACCAAGTCCAGAAACATTTCCCCAAAATCCAACCCCCAAAATTCCCCAAAAACCCTCAAAATTATTCAAAACCCCCAAAATCCAACCTCCCTAAAAATCCAGAAACAATTGCCCCCCCCCACCGAAACCTTCCTGGAAAAAATCCAGAAATATTCCCAAAAATCCAGAAATGTTCCCCCAAAAAACCAGAAATCCAACTCCCCAGAAGTCCAGAAATGTTCCCCAAAAAAATTCGGGAGTTGCCCCCAAAACATCCAGAAACATTTCCCCTAAAGCATCTAGAAACATTTTCCCCAAAATCGAGAGATGGTCCTAAAAAAATCCAGAAACATCCCCTCAAAAACCCCAATAAACTCAAAGACTGAGGATCTTCCCCCAAAAGATCCATAACTGTCCCCCCAAAAAGCCAGAAGCTTTTCCCGCAGATAATCCTGAAATATTGCCCAAAATCAAGGAACTTCCTCCCAAAAGTCAAAAATATTCCCCCAAAAATCTAGAAACATTCCTCAGAATCTAGAAACTTTTTTAAAAAATCCCAGAAATGTTCCCCCAAAAACTCATAAACCTGTCCCCCCACCCCGTCCAGAAAGCTCCCCCCAAAAAAATCCTAGAGCATTCCCAAATATTGAGGAACTTCCCCCTAAAACTCCAAAGCCATTCCCAAATAAACCCAGAAATCCAACTCCCCAAAAAATCCAGAAACATTCCTCCAAAACCCCAGAAATTTACCCCTAAAAATCCAAAATCTCCCTCCCCCATCTCAAGTCCACGTATTTTCTCCGAAAAACACAAAAACATTCCTCAAAAAAATCGGGAAACAATCCTCCAAAAATCCGGATCATTCTCCCCTTCCCCGCCCCAAAAACATTCCTCCAAAACCCCAGAAATTCCCATCCAAACAATCCAGAAATTCCCCCCCAAACCCTGATATTAAAAAAAAAAAAAAAATCCAGCCCCAAGCCCCCCTCACCCCTCTCCACAAGCCCCACAATAACCCAATCCCCCAAACCCTGCCCAGAATTCCCGGAATCCCCGAAATCCCGGGAATGCCCCAGATCTCACTGGTTGAAGAGCATGGAGAGCATCAGCTCGTTGGTCTCCTCAGGGAGGTTGGTCAGGAACAGGATGTGGTTCGGAGGGTTTTCTGACAGCTGCAGGGAAATGGGAGAAAAAACCCCAAATCAGCATCAAATCTGCCCCAAATCAGGCCCAAAATCTACCTAAAGTCACACTGTATACACACTAAAAAATCTGCCCCAAAATCCTGAAAAAAAATCCACAAAAAATCTGCTCACAAAAAAACCAAAAAATCCATCTAAAAAATCCCCAAAGAAATCCCAAAATCTGACCAAAATCTCACCAAAATTCCACCCAAAAGACCACAGAGTTCTAAACCAAAAATCCCCACAAAAAATGCGCCAAAGCCCACAGAAATCCCTCAAAATCCCAACAAAAATCACTCCAAAAATCCCATAAATCCCACAGAAAAATTCCTCAAACAGTCCCACTAAATCCCCATGAAAATCCCACAGAATCCATGCAGAAAAATTTGCAGAAAAATTCCCAAATTACAAAAAATCCACCCCCAAAAATCCCTCAAAATCGTCCAAAATATCCCCACAAAATATCCCCCCAAAACTGCCACAAAATCCACTGCAAATCCATTCAAAAAAGCCACACCAAAACGATACAAATCCCCCCAAAAATGCCCCCAGGTCCCCTCAAATCCTACCCAAAATCTCAGGAAATCCACCAAAAAAATTCCCACAAAAAATTCCCTCAAAATCCCACCAAAATCCAACAAAATCTCACAAATTCCACCCCAAAAATCCCACAAGTCCCTTAAATCACTGAGGTTCTGGGGTCACTCACAGGCTGTGGGGTAGGGATCGGGGCCATTCCAGGCTGTGGGGCCATTCCTGGGGGAATTCCCGGGTTCGGGGCCATGCCTGGGGCTGGGATCATGCCCGGGGGAGGGATGTAGGGTGGTTGTCCCCCCAGGTGCGGCATCATCCGGGGCGGCTGCGCCAGCGGCGGCATCCCCTGAGGAGAGACCCCAACACACCCCACATCATTCCAAAGGAACAGACAGAATCCCAAAGCTATCCCAAACTCATCCCCTGAGGAGACCCCAACACACCCCAAATCATTCCAAAGGCACCGACAGAATCCCAAAGCTATCCCAAACTCATCCCCTGAGGAGACCCCAACACCCCCCACATCATTCCAAAGGAACAGACAGAATCCCAAAGTTATTCCCAAAGTACACTGAGAATCCCAAATCAATGTGGAATTATGCCAAATCCACACAGAATTATCCCTGGATTACCCCACAGACACATGGCCCTAAAAACCCCAAATTTTCCCAAAACCATGAAAAATTATCCCAAATTATCCCAAAATCACACCAACCAACCTCAAAATTAACCCAAATAACCCCAAAAGCACACAAAGAACCCAAAGAACTCAAATCCCCCCAAAATCCCATCCAAATCCCCCCATGCCCTCCCAAATGCCCAGGAACAATCCCGATCCCCAGGAATGATCCCAGAATCCCCCAGAACCATCCCCCAAATCCCCTGGAATCATCCCAAATCCCCCAAAATCCTCTGGAACAATCCCAAAATCCCCCTGAACCTTTCCCCAAACCCCCTGGAATGATCCCAAAATCCCCTGGAACCATCCCAAAACCCCACTAAACAATCCCAAATCCCACTAAACAATCCCTAATCTCCTAAGAACAATCCTCAAAATCCCATAAAATGATCCCAAATCATCCTGAACCATCTGCAAATTCCCCAAAATTCCCCAGAAATGCCCCAAATTCCCATAAACTGATTCCAAATCCCCTAGGAACAATCCCACAATCCCATGAATTCCCCAATTCCCCCAGGATTGATCACAAAATCCTCTAAACTGATCCCAAATTCCTGACATTCACAGACACTCCCCCCTGTGCCCCAATCCCAAATCCCATAAACCCACCCCCAAAATCCCATTAAACAATCCCAAAAGCCCTGTGAACAATCCCAAATCACATAAAACAACCCCAAAATCCCCTAAAGCCATCCCAAATCCCCTAAACCAAACCCAAATCCCCCTGGGACTCACGGGCACTGTCTTCTGTGCCCCGATTCTGATCCCAAATCCTATAAATGACCCCAAATCCCATAACACAATCCCATAAATCCCCTGGCACTCCAGGCACTGGCCCCGTACCACAATCACAAATTCCACAAATTACCCCAAATCCCATAAATGATCCTATAAATCTCCCAGCACTCACAGGCACCATCCCCTCCACCCTGATTCTGATGCCAAAATTCCATGAACGACCCCAATCTCACGAATGACTCCCAATCCTGATCCTATAAATCTCCCAGCACTCACAGGCACCATCCCCTGCACCCTGATTCTGATGCCAAAATTCCATGAACGACCCAAATCTTACGAATGACCCCAAATCCCATGAATGACCCCAAATCCCACAAATGATCCCAAATCCCACAAATTACCCCAAATCCCATGAACGACCCCAATCCCATGAATGACCCCAATCTCACAAATGACCCCCAATCCCATAAATGACCCTAAATCCTATGAACAACCCCAATCGCATGAACAACCCCAATCCCATGAATGACCCCAATCACACAAATGACCCCCAATCCCATAAATGACCCCAAATCCTATGAACGACCCCAATCCCATGAATGACCCCAACCCATGAACGACCCCAACCCCATGAATGACCCCACTCCCATGAACGACCCCAATCCCATAAATGACCCCAGTGGGATCAAACAATCCCCTGGCACTCACGGGCACTGCTCCCTGCGTGGCCCCTTGTGCTCCAGCCCCGCTCTTTTTGGGGCCAGGGGCCTCTCCCCCCTTGGCTTTGCGCTTGTCCCGTTTGCGCTCCCGGTCCCGATCCCGCTCGCGCTCCACGAACGTTCCCTTCATCTTGGCGATGATGTCTGAGTCCGTCTTGGCGTACTGGATCCGCTGGGATGGCACATTCCCGGGATTGAGGCATTTCAGGGCATTTGGGACATCTCCAGGAGGGATTTTGGGAGATTCCAGGGAGGATTTGGGGTTGTTCCAGGGGATCTGGGATCAGTCCAGGGGGATTTGGGGATGGCTCAGGGGGTTTTGGGGTTGTTCCCAAGGATTTTGGGGGGATCTGGGGAGGATTTGGGGCTTTCTGAGGGATTTGGGGGAGTTCCAAGAGGGATTTGAGGGTTTTCCACGGGATTTTCAGGGATTCTGCAGGATTTGGGGAGGTTCCAGACAGGATCTGGGGGAGTTTCAAGATAAATTACGGATTTTTGAAGGATTTTTGGAAGTTCTAGAAGGAATTCTGGGAGAATTCAGAGGAATTTGTGAGGTTCCAACAGGGATTTGGAAATTTCCAAGGGGGATTTTTGGGGTTCTGAGAGATTTGGGAGAGATTCCAGGAGGGATGCGGGGAGTTTCTGAGGGATTTTGGGGGGTTCTGAGGGGTTTTAGGGAATTTAAAGAAGGAATCTGGGGGAATTTGAGGAGGTTTCAGGGGAGGATTTTGGGGTTTCCCAATGGATTTTTGAGAGTTCTGAGGGATTTGGGAAAGGTTCCAGAAAGGATTTTGGAATTTTCAGAGGGCGTTTGGGGGAGCTCCAAGAGGAATCTGGGAGTATTTCAGGAAGTCCTAGCAGGGATCTAGGAATTTCTGAGGGATTTTGAGGAAATTCAGAGAGATTTAGGAGGGATTTGGGTGTTTCTGAGGGATTTAGGGGAATTCAGAGAGATTTTGGAGGAGCTCCAAGAGGGATTTGGAGGGCTTCCAACAGATTTTTGGGGCTTCCAGGTTGAATTTGAGGTTTCACCATGGGTTTGTCATAGAAGGGAAAGTTTTAGGAATTTCTGGCTAGATTTCAGGGGTTTTCCTGGCATTTTGGGTTTTTTTCTGGGATTTGGTTCTCAGTTTCACCATGGGTTTGTCATAGAAGGGAAAGTTTTAGGAATTTCTGGCTAGATTTCAGGGGTTTTCCTGGCATTTGGGGTTTTTTTCTGGGATTTGGTTCTCACTGGGGTTGGTTGTAGCAGAGGAAGCTTTGGGGCAGCTTCTGGTTGGATTTTGGTGCATTCCTAATAGGATTTGGGATTTTTTTGGTGGGATTTTGGGGATATTTGAGGCTGCATTTTGGGTTTTTTTCCACCAGGAATTCAGGATTTTCCCCAGAATTCCAGGATTTTTTCCCCAAAACGTCAGTTTTCTGCCCAAAATGTCACAATTTTCCCTCAGGTTTGGGTATCACCATGGGCTTGTTGTAAAAGGGGAAGCCTTAGGGTGTTCAGGGTGAATTTGGAGGACTACAGGTTGGATTTTGGGGATACTTGAGGCCACATTCTGGCATTTTTTTCCCCAGAATTTCAGAGTTTTTCCCCAAGTTTCTGTCCCACTGTGGGCTTGTCATACAAGAGGAAGCTTTGATTCCTGGTTTTATTTGAGGGAGTTCCCAGAGGATTTTTGGTAGATTTCCAGCTGGATTTTGATTTTTTCGCCAGGAATTCAGGTTTTTTTCCCCAAAATACCAGGATTTCTCCCCAAAATTCCAGTGTTTTTCCCCAGAATTTCTGTTTCATCATGGGTGCGTCATAGAAGGGGAAGCTTTGAGGTGTTCACGGTGAATTTGGAGGGATTACAAGTTGGATTTTGGAGATATTTGAGGCCAGATTTTAGCAGCTTTTCCCTAGAATTCCAGTTTTTTTTCCTCAAATGTCAGAATTTCCCCCCAGTCTCTGTCTCACCATGGGTTTGTCGTAGAAGGGGAAGCCCTGCATGGAGCGCAGGGCGTTGGTGGCACTGCTCATCTCCTTGAAGATGACAAAGGCCTGGCCCCGCATGCGGAGACTGCGCGACACCAAAATGTCCAAAATCTGCCCAAACTGCGAGAAAATGGCGTAGAGGGACTTCTTCAGCTCTGGGGACAGAGTGACAGTATGGTGACCATGGGGACAGCACGCTGGCAATGGGGACAGCACAGGGGACAGCCTGAACCCCTGGGGACACCCACGGACAGTCTCAGACCCCCCAGCCCCCTCCTCACCGTCCTTCTTGATCTTCTCGTTCAGGTTGTTGATGTAGATGGTGTGGTTGGGCCGGGGGTCCTGCACTGCCATGGCCGGGACCGCTCTGTGGGGACAGGGGGACTTTGGGGGAGTCTGGGAGGGCTGCAACCCCTTCACCCCCTGGCACCCCCCCTTCAGGTGCCGCCAGACCCCCAAATCCACCCCAGACCCACCTAATCCCACCCCCAATTACCCTCAGACACACCCAGACCCCCCAAAATTGACCCCAGACCCACCTGAGACTCCCCAAAACCCCCTCAGACTTGCCTGAGATCCCCCCAAATTCCCTCAGACTTCCTCAAATTCCCCCCAGTCCCACCTCAGAACCCCCCAGATGCCCCCAATGCCCCTCAGACCCCCCTAAACCCACCTGAGAACCCTCCAGACCCTCTTGAGTTCCTCCTCAAGCCCCCTCAGACCTCCTCATTCCTCCCCAAACTGACCTCAGAACCCCCTATTTCCCCTTAACCCCCTCCAAAATCTCCCATTTCTCCTCCGACTTACCTTCAGACCCCCCAATCAACCTCAGATCCCCCCCCCAATTTCCTCCCAAATCCACCTCAAACCACGGAAAAACTCCTCAAACCACCAAAATTTCCCCTAAATCCGCCCCGGACCCACGTCGGACCACTCAATTCTGCTCATTCCTACTTCAGAAGCTCCCATTTCCCCTCAAATCCCCCTCAGAAAGCCCTCAAACCCGCCCAATGCTCCCCAAAACCGCCTCGGACAACTCAATTCCCCTCACACCTACCTCAAACGCCCCCAATGCCTCTCAAATCCCCCTCAAACCTCCCCAATTCTCTTCACGTTCGCCGCAGATCCACTTCACCCCTCACAAAAGCCACTCAAACAACCCCAATTCCCCCCAAACCCATTCCCGACCCACCTTAGATACCCCCCTTTTCCCCTCAGTTTCCCCCCCGGACCAACCTGAGATCCCCCTAATTATCCCTCAGACCCCGCAAAAAACTCTTAAACCCGCCCAATTTCCCCCAGATCCATCCCGCAGCGACCTAAGACGCCCCACTTCCCCTCAGACCCGCCTCGACGCCCACCCATTTCCCCCCAAAGCCATCTAAACCCCCCACTTCCCCTCAGACCCGCCCCGACGCCCACCCATTTCCCCCAAAGACATCTAAACCTCCCACTTCCCCTCAGACCCGCCTCAAAGCCCACCCATTTCCCCCAAAAACCATCTAAGACCTCTCCATCCATTTTCTCCCCAATTTTTACCCCTTTTTTCCCCATTTTTTTCGAATTTTTCCCCAATTTTTCCCTGTTTTCCCCCATTTTATTGCCATTTTATTGCCAATTTTTTCCCAATTTTTCCCCATTTTTTCCCCATTTTATTCCCACTTTCCCCCAAAAAAATTCTCATTTCTCCTTTATTTTTTCCCCAATTTTTCCCCCATTTTCTCCCCAATTTTTTCCCCATTTATTCCCAATTTTTCCCCCATTTTCTCTCCAGTTTTCCCTCATTTTCCCCCAATTTTCCCCCAATTTTTACCCCTTTTTTCCCCATTTTATTCCAAATTTTTCCCCAATTTTTTCCCAATTTCCCCTAATTTTTTTCTCATTTTATTCCCATTTTTCCTCCATTTATTCCCCATTTTTCCCCATTTTATTCCCATTTTTCCTCCATTTATTCCCCATTTTTCCCCATTTTATTCCCAATTTTTCCCTCGTTTTCCCCCAATTTTTCTCCATTTTCCCCCCAATTTTTAACCCTTTTTTCCCATTTTATTCCCATTTTATTCCCAATTTTTCCCAATTTTTCCCCCAATTTCCCCCCAAAGCCATCTAAACCCCCCACTTCCCCTCAGACCCGCCCCGACGCCCACCCATTTCCCCCAAAGACATCTAAACCTCCCACTTCCCCTCAGACCCGCCTCAAAGCCCACCCATTTCCCCCAAAAACCATCTAAGACCTCTCCATTCCCTCATACCTCACCTCAGCTATCCTCCTCAGCCGCTCTCCCCTCACAATCTACCGCGCCTCCTGCTACCGCCGCGACCGCGTCCGCCGCGTGCGCGGGCCTCTTCCAACTAAGAGCGGCACCGTCCCCTTTCAACCAATAGCGGCGCGATCCTCCCCAAACCAACCAATCACCGCGCGGCTTGCCTCAGCAACGCCCGCCTCCCCCACGCAGCTCCAGCCAATTAGAGGCGAGCCGGAAGTAGCGCCCTCTGACCCTGGGGCCGGGCATGAGGCGGGGTCCCGTTCCTCCGCCGTGACCCCGGGCGCGGGCGGGCGCTGCGGGAGGCGCTGGGGGAGCACGGAGGGCTCGGGAAGCTGCTGGGGCGGCCGGGACAGGTGGGGGAGCCGCGGGGGAGGGTTGGAGGATGGGGGTTAGGGAGGGCTGCGGGGTCCTAAGAGGGGATCGTGGGAGGGTCTTGGGGGGTTCTGGTGGGGTCTTGTGGGGGATATTGGGTGGGGAGCATCCTGAAGGGGTCTGGAGGTGTCAAGGAGGTTCTGGGGAGGGGTCCTGAGGCATTGTGGGGGGATCTGGGATGGTGGGATGGGTCCTAAGAGGGGTCTCGAGAGGGGGTAGGGTCTTGGGACAGGCTTTGGGGGATTGGTGTGGGGATATTTCTACTTGGGGCAGGGTTTGGGGGATGTGGTGTGGGGGTATTTCTGCTTGGGGCAGGTTTGGGGATGTGGTGTGAGGGTATTTCTGCTTGGGGCAGGTTTGGGGATGTGGTGTGAGGGTATTTCTGCTTGGGGCAGGTTTGGGGATGTGGTGTGGGGGTATTTCTGCTTGGGGCAGGGTTGGGGATGTGGGGTGGGGGGATTTCTGCTTGGGGCAGGTTT